TGATGAGAAAGAAACACAAAACTAGAAACACTTGCCTTCTCCCCTCCTTCATCACAGGCCAAAATTTACTCCTTCATTCACAGCTTCTCCACTTCCTCACCCACAGCGGCAGATGGGGATGGGGAATGTAGGGTGAAGTCAGTTCATAATGAGTTGTCTCTTCCCCTCCTTCCTTCTCACACTCTTCTCTCGACAGGGTTGATCACACCCAGGGCCTGCTGTCCATCAGAATATGCTGGCTGCAGCATGGGGTCTCCAGAGGCTACAGTTCTTCATGGAACACCCACCCCTCCTACACTGTCTGCCAGACAGTGATACAACTGATAATATTACACAGCACAGAGCCACAGCGGAAAGAAATGTAAAGCAAAACAGAGATAAACCTATTGTTTAGTTCGATTGTTTCAATCAGCAGATGCCAAAGCACTTGAGGGAGGTTTGCAGTACTGTTATTGCCCTTTTGCATCCAGCTCATTTACAAGGTATAAATTAATTTGTTACTGATGTTAATTTAACTCAATTATCTAAATGAAATTATAATAACAATTGATTTAACTTGTACTGATTTAGTTCAAATATATGAATCAAGTTTTCTTAACTACAGTGTTGAAGAGAGACCATCTGTATCATCTACACTGGCTGGATTAGAGATTAAATGACTTGTTTTCTATAGTGAAAGATCAACGTTGTACATGGGCTCCAGTTTTTGTTACAGTTCCTACCTCATGCAAACCTTGCATTCCACAGAGAATAGAATCCTTAGCAGAATTCTTTCCAATTTGGGATTGCTGAAAATCAGAATAAGGGAATGAATGCCTGGAAAAGCCGGCAGAAATGCATCAATAATAAGCAACACTTCATTTTGGACATTAATTGAATAAATCAGTGTCAAGATCAAAAATATAAAGTTGATGCTGTAAATTATAAAGAAGCTGAGAATAGATTTCATGGCTTTGATGTGGGCATCCATGCTGAGATTCTTCATGGAGTTTGTCTGCATCATGCGTTTGTGTCTCCAGAGGGAAAAGAGAAGGAGAAGGGCAGAAAAAACGACTGCCATAAATGAAGTGGAAAATCCCAAGCCAGTGATAAAATAAAGAGGGAAAAAATGTTTCTTCGCGTTGATACTTGTTTTCCAAACACTCTCTTGGCAGGTGAAGTTGAGATTGTGACAGAGAGCTTTATCAGTGGTG